GTCTGGAAGGATGTCCCAAAAGTCTCCTGGTCTAATTAGCATATTACCCTTTTATTAGTATAGCTATAGTTAAGGACTGGAAGTAGAGGCAATCAGTGAAGAAGACTGGCATGAGAACTTCTCATAAATTGAGAGAAGCCCGAGTAACTTCCATTTTATATAAGTCTTCAAGTCTATCTTTTAAAGAATAATGCCAAATTAGAAATACTGCCGAAACTGGTTTGGCTCAGTGGGTAGAGCGTTGGCCTGTGGACTGAAAGGTCCCAGGTTTCAATTCTGGTCAAGGGCATGTACCTTGGTTGCGGGCACATCCCCAGTGGGGGGTGTGCAAGAGGCAGCTGATCGATGCTTCTCTCTCATTCTTGTTTCTACCTCTCTATCCCTCTCTCTTCCTCTCTGTAAAAAATCAATAAAATATATTTTTTTAAAAAGAAATATCAAAATTGCTACAAAGTTTTAAAAATTCCCATTTATTAAATTAAGCTATATGAAGAGCATTTTCCACCACCTTAATCTGGCTCTGTGTCTGGAGTAATCAATTCATTTGAGGATAACGTCAAGATCCTGAATTTGAGCCCTTTTGTGAATGTGAGATACAGGCCACACGGCTCTCCAGACACTTTAAACCCCACCCCTGAGCGAGGCCCTGTCAGAATGACTCCATTTGCTCCTATTTAGACACTTCACATCAACAGAAGTCGGCGCAGGCTGATCACTCTCAGAGGACAAGTCGGTGTCTTTAATCGTGGCTTTTCAACCAACATGGTGGTCCCCACCCTCGAAGAGTCCTCTTAAATGAGCCAGCAAGGTTTGTTTTAATGTTGTATATCCAAACCCCACCTCCCCACCACACATACACATAATTGGTGAGAATATATATATTAACCACGTACCTGAAGTAGAGGCCAAAGAGCACATGAGAAAAGACATCTTTTTTTTAAAAAATTATTTTATCATTTGCCTATATTTTTTATTAATTTGTTTATTGATTAAGGTATCACATATTTGTCCTCAACCCCCCATTCAAATCCCCTCCCCCACTCATGCCCCCACCTCCCTATTGTCCTTGACCACTGGTTAGGCTCATATGTGTGCACATAAGTCCTTTGGTTGATCTCTCCCTTTTATCCCCACCCTCCCTTTGAGGTCCAACAGTCTGACCCATGGCTCCTTATCTCTGGGTCTGTTCTTCTTGTTTTTTCAACATCATTTTTTTTAAATCCTCACTCAAGGTTAATTTTCCATTAATTTTTTTTTTTTTTTTTTTTTTTTTAGAGAGAGAGAGAGAGAGAGAGGGAAAGACAGGGAGGAATATCAATGTGAGAGAAACATCAAACCTCCTGCACTAGCCCTGAAGCCTGCAACCGAGGTACGTACCCTTGACCGGAATCGAACCCAGGAACCTTCAGTCTGCAGGCTGATGCTCTATCCACTGAGCCACACCAGCTAGGGAGAAAAAGCCATCTTGAGATGAACTCCTGCTGGGGTTGCCCATGACCGTGGCTCCCACCCCACCACCTCATCCTGCTGATCACAGTGCCAGGATATAAACTTAGACCTTCCAGCAGCCCAGTGTGAGCTCAGGGAGGGGGTGAGCAGCAGTAAACAGGGAATGTCTAGAAGCTGTGCCCCACTCTTCCTGCGGGGGGGAAGGGACGGCAGGTCAGGATGTACCCTTCTTGATTCCTTGTTGCATAAATGGATACACTGTGAATTGACTGGAGATAAATAAAACCCCAAACCAAAACAGAGCCTGGAAAAACAACTTGCAAAATAATAGAGAAAAAAAAAAAAGCTACCTCGTGTAAGGCACAGAGAAAGGACAAAGAGTTCAAAGTGACTTTTCAAAGAGGAAATGCAGTTATAAATAAAAACAAACTAGAAAGCAAAATAAAAAGAAATACAGTAGACTTCATGAAGACCTGAATCTTTTCGAGGAGGAAACAAAATGTATTAAAAATCAGACAAACATTTTGCAAGAGGAATTGAGGCATTCTGTGGTCCTTGAATGTGTGAAAGAAATGTACCTGCTAAGCCTTCTGAGTCAGGCCTCCTACAACTCCAGGTTTTTGTGCTGCTGCTGATTAATTGCTATTTTCTATGCCACTGGCTTATTTTAGAATTTATTTCCCTGTAAAATCACCCATGCCATGCATTAAAAGTCTCATTTTCATGGCAGACTTTGTCTTTATAATGATCTCAAACACCCAGCATCATACAGCAGTGAAATAACAAATCGGATTTTCTAACTTGGTTTGCTGAGGAATGCTGATAGGCCCAATGTAATGAGTGCCTTTACAATAAAAAAGGTGTCCTTTACTCAAGTCAGTTTGGGAAGTGCCGAATGAAACAAAGTTAGATAGCTTTTATTGTTTTTTTGTTTTGTTTTTTTAAAAAACAACAACACCTGGTCAATATTTACCACGCCAGGGCCCTTGAAGAGGGGCTGTAATACAGGCGTGTTGCAAACTTATTTGATCATCTCCCGGAGGAATGTGTTTTCAAAAATGCAATTTTGAATCGCTGTACCAAACCACGTCTGGTGAAAATGAAAACCAAGACAAGAATGCCCCTGCCACTTTTATTACTTGGACGGTTCTAGAAGTGTTTACCCCATGCAGTCAGAAACTATATTACATTTTGAAAAGGAACACATATTATTCTAACTTAGCATTGATATGACTGCTTGCTTACTCGAAAAAATTCAGGGATTAAATGAATATCTCAGAAATGAATAGATTTCAATAAATTGCCAATTTAAAATTATTTTATGAAAGTATTCTTACCCTATGTAGCAAAAATGCCCATATAGGTAACAAATTGAATAAGAGCTCCCAGTTGCATTATTTTTTTCGTGTGTGTGTGTGTGTGTGTGTGTGTGTGAGAGAGAGAGAGAGAGAGAGAGAGAGAGAGAGAGAGAGAGAGAGAGGGAGAGAGACCTGGGAATACGTTTATCATAGATTATACAGGACTTTAATAAATAAAAATCCCCTAAAGGACATAAAAATATTTTTTTTTAATGAGGCAAAATATGTTACTGGAAAGCATTGCAATTCTGTAATTCTCACTATTATATCAACCTCAGACAGTCCCACCCAAATTCCCAACTTATTCTTGGGGGAAAAGAATCAACTGCAAAGCTCATGTGGTACAAATAAACATCAGAATCATCCAAAAAGTGTGAAAAATAGCCCAGCAGGTGTGGGTCAGTGGTTGAGCATTGACCCATGAAACAGGTCATGGTTGGATTCTCGGGCAGGGCACATGCCCAGGTTGTGGGCTCCATCCCAGTAGGGGGCGTGCAGGAGGCAGCTTCTCTTGTCGCTGATGTTTCTCTCTCCCTCTTCCTTCCTCTCTGAAATCAAGAAAAGCGTATTTTTACCAAAAACTGTGAAAAATCAAAAGAAAAGATCAATAGGGGGACGTGTCCTAACAGATATGAAGTCATAATTCTAACTCAATAACTGCAGGCTATTATACTGAAGCTACAATGCTCCGTGTACTAAAGAGAATTAAAAATCCAAAATAAATTGTATATATATATATATATATATATATATATATATATATATATGATATTTCAAATGGGCGGTGCTCAAAAGATAAATACTAGCTAACAACTGGCTAATCTTTTGGGAAAGAAAAAAAAATTAAATCTCTAAACCCATATATCAAAATCATTGCAGAAGAGAAAAGTATTTTTTTTTTTTAGTAAAACCATTAACATTGGAGAAATATAGGATAAGGTTTATATAATCTCGGGATGGAGCAATGCCACTAAACATTATCCCAGGGCCAGAAGGCAAAAAGGAAACCGTGTGTCCATTTTTTATTATTTTTTATTTTTTTTAGTCATTTTAATGCTTTTTTCCCTGTGCATAAGAGAAATAACTGATAGAGTCAAAAGATACAGTATCCTTTACACATCGCAGTTAAAAGTAATGCAAACATCACATGACATTTTCAGTGAAAGTTACATTTCCAATTACAAATCAAAATGTGTATTATTAGGGTTTCTTTAGAAGAGAAGCTTGAGAAGAAAATCTTAGGTCAAAAGCACTTTTCCTGGCATAACTACACTGATCCTTCAGGCTGCACAAAGATTAAGGTCATATACAGTCAATCAGCAAATGTTGACACAATTTCACACAGTTAAGTTTTCTGTACAATTAAATGTATACTTAGAAATACCAGGATAAACATTTCTACTATATTTGAACTCAACTCGCCTAGCCAACATTTTCACTGAGTAGTTGATCAAAGATGCTGTAAGATTCTACAAAATTGTTACATACCTAACTCCAGAAATACTATAGTCTTTCTCACTGGGGTTACACATAGTATGCTCAGAAATTCTGTTGTAACATCTCTAGGTGTACAGTTCCAATTGTGCTTACTGTACTGTATACAAATATAGCCAAAAAAATCAAAGAATGATATAAACCTTACAGCATTTTGCTAGCAAAAATACATGCCAAAGTCACAATAAGCAATATTGTACCACAAATTAGAGAGCTTCAGATAATTTGTTTCTGGTTTTAATATTTCCCATTCTACATTAAATTACTATCATAGGCTAATGTTTAAAATGCAAACAAATTGGACATCTGTAGAACAAAACTTGTTCACCCGACTGTGAAGTTTGATACCTGTTTCCAAAAATCACAATAAATGCAGAATCAAGAGAAGTGTCTGCATGCAACACTTTTTTGAGAAAAAACAGTAAAACAGTATTGATTCCCACCATTCAAAACAGACAAGGGAGGAAATGGAAGGAGAGAGGGAGGGGGGAGGGAGGGAACGATGGAGGGAGGAGGGAGAAGAGAGGAGAGGAAGGAAGGAGGCAGGTACAGGACTCCACCTTAAAATCTAGCATTAGATTTAGAACTAGACAGGTCGAAAAGAATCAAAATGAAAGTAAAGCATGATCTGTGTGTGTTTAAAGATTTCAGAGCCATTATCAAAAATAAGATACATTTTTCCAAGGTACAGAAATGTGATTAGGAAGGCTGCGAGCCCAGCAGCCGCTCAATGGCTGCATTGATGTCGCCTCCTGTTGCTATCAGAGCCTGCAAGTTAGCTTCGCGGTTTAAGAAGCCCATGGCGTTGAGCTGTTCCAGTTGCTGCTGAAATCGGACTTCTGGGATTGGCAGCTGAGCAGCGTTTGCCCCAGCCAGAGCCTGCACCATCTGCTGAATGAACTGCTGGCTGGGTCCGGAATCGGAGGTGGGGCTCGTGGTTTCACTGGGAGCCGAGCTAGGCACGGTGGCCCCGGGGGTGCTGCCAGAACCAGTGGAGCCAGGAGGACCCGCGGGGCCGGTGGGTCCTAGGGGCCCAATAGGCCCGATGGGGGTGAATGGCACAATGGGGCCGATGGGACCTATGGGTGTGACCGGGCCTACGGGGCCTATAGCGGTTCCCAGCACCCCCACCCCCACACCTGGAGTGAAGCTGGGAATGAGGCCAGGCGCCTCGGAGGCTAATGTCTGCAGCCCCTGCTGGATCTGCATGAGCGCCTGCATGGCTCTGGGGTTGGTCATGGCTGACAGCGTGTCCGGGCTCTGCATCTGCTGCAGGAAAGAGGGGACCTGCGGACGAACCTGCTCCTGCAGCTGCGGGTTCCCGGAGAACACGGGGTTGTTCAGCATCATCTGCGCGGCCAGATCCGGATTCTGGGTCAGCGACTGCATCATGCTCCGCATGTAGGGCGCCGACAGCATGTTCTGGATGAGCTGGGGATTCTCGGTGATCTGCTGCAGCAGGCTCTGCATGCCCGGGGTGCTGAAGACGCTGGCCACATAGTTGGCCGCGGCCATGGTGTTCCCGGGGTTGTTGGCGCTGCCGCTGGAGCCGCTGCCGCTGCTCGAGGTGGTGCCGGTGGTCGCCGAGCTGTGGGTCGCCGACGGCGGCGCCCACGGGTTGGGCAGCGGATCGCGATTCTCTGTGCGGGAAGGCTGCGAGCCTTCGCCGGTGGAGGCGGTGCTCCCCACGGAGGCGAACGGATTGCCCCCGAACTGCTCCTGGGCCGCGTTCAGCATGGGCTCCTGAATGTCAGTGTACATGCGCCGTAGGGCATTGTAGCCCCCCGGGATGCTCTCGAGGTTGCTGAGGGCCAGGTCTTGGTTCCTCATCATCTCCTGCATCATGGCCGGATTGCGGGCGATCTCGAGGGTCTGCCTCATGATGTCCGGGTTGTTGAGCAGGTGGCTGATCTCCGGATTTCTCTGGATCAGCTGCTGCATCTGCGGGTTGGCCATGATGAGCTGCCGCATCAGGTCGGGATTGGAAAGCATGCTCTGAACAAAGGGATTTTCCATGATCTGGAGCATCATCTCCGGGCTGGACAGGAGCTGCTGCTGCATCTGGTTCTGGAGCTCCGTGAAGCTGGTGGAGGTCAAGCCCAGGCTGCTGAGGCTTGCGAGTCCTCCCAGGCCCCCCAGCCCGAACGGGTTGCTATTTGTGGAGATAGGTGTGGAGTTACTCCTGGGAGTCGACGCGGTGGTGGTAGTCGTGGTGGTGCCCGCCGTGGTGCTGGGCTGCGTGGCCTGGCCCTGGGGCCGGTTCTGGCTCTTGATGACCAGGTGCACGGTCAGCCCGTCGTGGATGCCGTGCTGGCTCAGGGTGTCTTGATCTTTGAGGATCTTGCCGGCGAAGATGAGCACGAGCTGATCCGTCTGCGATTTGAAGCGTTTCGAGATCGCCTCCTTGAACTGCTGCACCGAGCTGTTCTCGGGCACCGCGAACTCCTCCTTCTCTTTGGGGGTCTTCACGGTGACTTTGATGATCTTGGGCTCGGCGGCCGGGGGCGAGGCGGAGCCGGGGGCCGCAGCCGCCGGGCCGCGGGAGGGGCGCGGGGGGCCGCTGCTCTCGCCGTTCTCAGCCATGGCGGCTGCGGTGACGCAGGCAGACAGGGAAGGCGCGGGCGGCCGGGCGAGAGAGAGAGAGAGAGAGAGAGAGAGAGAGAGAGAGAGAGAGAGAGAGAGAGAGAGAGAGAGAGAGAGAGCGATCGAGCGAGCGAGCGAGGGAAGGAGGAGAAAGGAGGCGCCGCCGCGGCAGGCTGGGCCGGGGAGCGCGGAGCGCGGTACCTCGCGGAGGAAGGCTGCGGGCCGGGGCTCCTCCGCTGGGGAGATGGCTCCGGGTAGGCCGCGGGCCGGGATCTCAGCTCAGGGCTCAGGGCTCTGGGCCTCCGCCGCCACCGCCGCCGCCACCGCCGTGTGATCCCGCCGCGCGCGCTCCCAGCAGCTCCCGCAGCCGCTCCGCCCGCCCCGCCCCGCCCCCGCCCCTCCCCCTCCGCTGACGCGGCGCCAGGCCCCGAATGATAGCTGCGACTCGATCAAAATGAAAAACTTCTGGAACGGACAAACCCGGGGCGAGGGAGAGCAGCGGAGAGGGAAATAAACAAAGAGAGGAGAGAAAAGCGAGAGAAGGAGGGAGGGAGGGGGGAGGGAGGGAGGGGGGAGGGAGCCTGCTTCTGTAGAGGACATTAAAAGACCAATGGGGGGAGGGATCGCGCGCGCGCGCTCACACACACACACACACACACACACACACACACACACACACACACGCATGCACACACACACACACACGCACACACACACGCACACACGCGCATTTGAAGTCTCCAGGCAGTGAAAGGATGAAAGAAAGCCTGGATCTCACTGACCCCATGTAAAAGACAAAAGAACACAAAATAAAGAACTCTGACAAAGCAAAAAAGGAGCAGATTAACACCCCCGAGAGGGGACCGGGAGAAGACCGAGCAGAAGCTCCAATTGTACAAAAAGAAGCGCAAATGGCCAATGGGCATCCGAAAGGATGATTAAGCCCAGCAGCAACCGAAAACCCAGCTGAAAACACTGAGCATCCCCCTCTGCCTTATCACACCGGCAGAAATGAAAGATGGTAGACCTTCCAGAGAGCCGAGAAAATGCACTCTCATGCCAATTGAGGTGTGAGTTATTGTCATCATAAGGCGATTTGAAAATATATAGCCACATTTTAAATATTTCCAACCTTTCTTTGTAAATGCCTCATTCAGAGGCCTCATCTAGGAAAGCAACTGATAAGGAAGCAAAAGCATGTGTATAAAACGTACACGCGCTACAGCATTTAAAAATTATTTTAAAAGGTAGAACCAGGATCTGTTTAAACAGAAATGATCAGCTCTCTGACGATATTGCCATACAATAAAATAATATGCACCCTGTTTTTAAAAAACGAGTGGTTAATTGGTATGATCTAAAATATTTTTAAAGGAATAGATGAAATAAACACTAGTTGTAGAGAAATCACAGAGCCATTTCCACTTTCAGCTATATTGATATATTTCTGTAGAGTAGAAATTGTGTAAGCCTGTATGTTTCAATACAAAAAAATACAATAAACATGTTTTTATTTTAAAACTATTTTTAAATAGTTTGTATATGTGAACTGTCTTTAAGTGTATGTGTAAAAATAAATCTGGAACGCTGTACATTAGTATGTTAATAGTGGTTATTACTTAGTGCTGAAATTAGGAATAACTATCCTTTGTCTATTGATATTTAAATTTTTATGGCTTTTATAGGTATCCACTGCATTTATAATATTTTTAAAAATCAGAAGACATTCTGAGGGAGATGATAGATAGATATTGACAGGCACACAATAGTAAAGTCAGTCATTAACATATTTACCTAATTTAGTTACAGATATGTACGGAAAATAAATAAAGATGTACCATTTGAGTAATAAGAACAAAGAATTTTAAATTGGTGTATAAATTTCTAACTCCAGTTTATACTATACAGAAAATACTCTTTCCACCAATATCCAATGAGCATTTAACACCATTTAAATGTCATTTGGCCACAAATACCTTAATAACTCTTAAGAAAAAAATATGAGTATGTGATATCTATCAATTGGGGAATGGATTAAAATAGTATGATTAATATGATTAATAGAATACAAAAGATACAAAGAATGAATTAGATCTTAATATATTAATATGTATAAATCTCAAAACCTAATTAATTATCACAACATTCTATGGCGTTCATAGATGCATTCATATGTATGTGAAGCTATCAGCAATATATTAAAGTGATTCACACTAAACTTGTACCCATGAGGAAGAGGAAATGGAATAGGTCACAGGATAATGAGTAAAAAGAGATTGAATTAAATCTGTAAAAAATGTATTTCATCTTTAAAATGAAAGCAAATATGGCAAAATAGCAATAGTTAATTCTAGATGGCAAGGATATGAGTCTTCATTATAATATTCATATCCCTGCCATCCAGGATGTTGTATTTAGAAGGATTTTTAATTTTCTCAAAAAATAAAAGAAACTAAGAAAATATCACATCATCTTATTTGATCATAATAGAACTAACCTAGGTATTAATAATGAAAGTATAAGTGAAAACATCAACCACTTGAAAATTAACACAGAATCACTTTGGGGACAAAGTGCAAATCAAAATTTTTATTAGAGTGAATTTAGTAACATAATGATAATGCGAACTTATATATCAATAATTATTATGGCATTTCCTTATGTATAGTCTGAAGATCTTGTTTAAAAAATACACAAATCTGGGCACCACTACAAACCAACCCAAATAGGTGATGCTCAGCGATCTGCATTCTTATCAAATCAGAGTTTAATGTTATTTTACTTACCAGGTACTGTACAGTGGGGTGACCCACTCTTCCTGGTCTCCCAGAAACATGTTGTTGTTTTTCTACTGTAGAGCAGAAGTTAGACTAAATAGCAATCATCTTGGAGTCCCTTTAGAGAAGGGTAGTTTTTGAGGAACTAACAGACTTGACAAAGAGCATCTCCTCATGAGGGACCCTAGCTGGTTTGGCTCAGTGGATAGAGCGTTGGCCTGTGGACTGAAGGGTCCTGGTTTTGATTCTGATCAAGGGCACATACCTGGGTTGTGGGCCCCATCACCAGTAGGGGGCATGCAGTAGGCAGCCAATTAATGATTCTCTCTCATTATTGATGTTTCTATCTCTCCCTCCCTCTCCCTTCCTCTCCGAAATCAATAAAAATATATTTTAAAAAAAGAGAAAATGTTCACCACCAATAGTGTGTTAGATAACACCTCCATCACGTCACATAATGATCATTTGTTTTTTTTGTGATGAGAACATTGCAATATACTTTCTTAGCAACTTTCAAGTATAAAATACAATATTATCCTATATAATAAAAGCCTAATATGCAAATAGACCAAACAACGGAACCACCAGAGGAATTAACAGTCACTGTGACTGGCACTGACCACCAGGGAACAGATGCACAATGCAGGTGCTGCCCCCAGCCTGCAGAGGGAGGTGACTGGCAGCAGCAGCAGGGGGTGGAGTTGGTGAGCAGGCAGCGCCATTCCTGCCAAGGTGGGTGCCAGCGGGGGGCCTCTCAATTGCCCCACCGGTTACCCCACAGATTGGCCTTGGTCGCTGATCAGGCCTAGGGACCCTACCCGTGCATGAATTTTGTGCACCTGGCCTCTAGTTACCTATAATCATGTTGTATGTTAGATTCCCAGAACTTATTCATCTTGTAACTGGAAGGTTGTACCCTTTGACCAACATCTCCTTATTTCCCATCACCACTCAGCCCCTGGAGACCACCATGACAATCTCTGTTTCTGAGTGCCACCAAAAGCAAATTTCCTTGAGTTTTTATCCTTAATTTTACAAATGATGTTATAGTTTATATTTTATGCCCAAATATATCCATTTTAATGTATTAAATTACTTTCAACTAAGTAAAATTAGCATTTCAGTGGTTGAATGAACATGTTTTTGTTAGCAAGAAACACATCAATTAGCTTTATCTTAAATTTTAAGAGAAGAGCAACAAGATAAATACATAAAACTGGAACTGCATGAGTAGATTTAATAACAAATTAAGGGAATTTTTAAAAATTAAATTTATTGGGGTGACATTGGTTATAAAAGTATATAGCTCTCAACTATACAACTGTATAAATTGCATTTTGTGTTTTACCACCCAAAGGCACATCTCCTTTTGCCACCATATATTTGACCCCTTTTACCCTTTTCTACCTTGCCACCCCTCTTTTCCCTCTGGTAACTACCATATTGTTGTCTGGGTCTATGAGTTCTTGTTTTTTTCATTTGTTGCTTTCAGTTTTACATCCCACATGCGAGTGAAATCATATGGTTCTTGACTTTCTCTATCTGACTTATTTCCCTTTGCATGATATTCTCAAGATCCACTCATGTTGTCTCAAATCGAAGCATTTCATCTTTCTTATGGATGAGTACTATTCTATTGAAGATACTTTGTAAAAATCTTTGCTAATACTAAGAAGAATGATGATTGTATAACTTTTCTAGAAAGATATACATGACCAAAATATATTCAAGAAGTGGAAAACCTTACAGATCATGTAAGACATTGTAAGAAAAAGAATAAAAAATTAACCCTAGGTGGTTTGACTCAATGGACAGAACATTGGCCTGTGGACTGAAGGGTCCCAGGTTCTATTCCAGTCAAGGGCACATTCCTTGGTTGTAGGCTTTCCCTGGCCTGGGCACTGCTAAAGGTGCGTGCAGGAGGCAACCAATCTATGTGTGAAACACATAGATATTTCTCTCTGTTTCTCCCTTTCTCTCACTGTCTCTAAAAATCAATGGAAAAATATCCTTGGCTGAGGATTTTTTAAAAAGGAGTAAAAATTAAATAATTTGATATTTTAAAAATTAGCTTTCTTAGTAAAGGTTGTGGCTGATCTTATGTGTTTACTTCCTTCCTTTATCAAATCCATTGAATTGATTGAAATGATGTGAGAAAAATAATGAATACTTACCAGTATTGGAAAAGTGGAAGAAGTCTAATCCATGAATCTTCATGTTAAA